TACTGAACCATGCATCCGATTGACTTGAAACATGGTATCCATGTAGAAAATACATGTACTTAATGGATAGGCTTCGATCAACAATAGTAACTGTTGATCGAAGTGGATAGGCTAATATTTATATGAGGGTTGGACTCTCTACACCAGTTGTGGGGGCGTTAATGATGAGAATCTTTGTGGGGGTGAGAAATAATAATGTTAATTTTATTATTATTATTTATTATATAGTTATTAATAATGTTATGTTTTGCCAGCAAAACGAACGGGTACTGTTAGTTATTGATAAAATTTTAGTCAGTGATAGGAAGTAGGTACTCAGCATTATTTTTGGATGTACTTTATAGTTGAAATATCGGTCATAGCTACGAGTATGTATTTTCGTAACTTATTGTCAAATACAATCAAGAAATTATGCTCATTGTGATCAATGAATGTGTATGCATCCCTTTTAAATGCAAGTTCATGGCGTTTTAAACGAACGCCCATTGAATGAATTCTTTGGCTCGATGTTTAATGCTATGAAATGCCTTTCAGGCGGCGAAGAGTCGCTAAAAACAAGTTTAAATATCGTTAATATTAAACTTTTATACTGGTGGTAGAACCTCTTGTGAGTCCGCGCGGGTAGGTACCACCACCCTGCCTATTTCTGCCGTGAAGCAGTAATGCGTTTCGGTTTGAAGGGTAGGGCAGCCGTTGTTACTATACTGAGACCTTAGAACTTATATCTCAAGATGGGTGGCGCATTTACGTTGCAAATGTCTATGGGCTCCAGTAACCACTTAACACCAGGTGGGCTGTGAGTTCGCCCACCCATCTAAGCAATAAAAAAAAAAAATGAGTGTAACATTTTCCTTCTCAACCTATAAATAAAACATGAAATGACGTTTTAAATGTTAGAGACGGAATTTCTGACAAATTTTGTGATTATGGACATATGCATATTTTGTTTTTTTAATTTTAATATTATTCACTTGTTGACAAGCATAGTAAAGAGCCTACTCACTAGGAGTTGGTGCACAAATGACTTCTTCATCGTTCCCTCACTGCAGAGGATCGCGATTACATGTGACTTTCCTCCATAGTGTTCGGATATAGGCGGCATGGACTGCAGGGTATAGACTGCTAATTAATCTATACTAATATTATAAAGCTGAAGAGTTTGTTTGTTTGAGCGCGCTAATCTCAGGAACTACTGGTCCGATTTGAAAATTTCTTTCAGTGTTAGATGGCCCATTTATTGAGGAAGGCTATAGTCTATATAATATATCATCACGGTAGGAACGATACGAGTGGAGCACCAATTAAAAATGTTTCAAAATATTTTCACTTTCTACGTAAATGAAGTGGGGGGTAGAATTTAGCGTTATGGCAAAGTAGCTATTCCACGGAGACGGAGTCGCGGGCAAAAGCTAGTTATTAATATAATATTTATTAATCTCTCGCACGAATGATACATCTGTGCAAAAAAGATAACTAAAAATTTTTAAGGCAATCTCTAATTCAGGTTATTCAAAGTATTCTACTTTTTTCTTCGATTCGATCTTGCTATACATTTCATTAGGTGTACAATTAAGATCTGTATTGTCAAAATATGGCAATCCGGGAACGGCGGTATGAAGTTTCCAAATTTGGATAACCGGGTACTTTACTTTACTGTAGTATTGAGGTCGAATTAACATAACAATTTACGGAGTAAACGACAACTGAGATTCTAAGAAAACGATAATTATTACTGTAGTAGGTACTAAGAAATCTGGAAATGGAACCGAATTAGTCGAGATTCAGTCGTAATATTTTAATTTTGGTTGATTATTTGGCAGACAGCATTCGTGAACATGTAGGTACTATTCTTCATCTGTTAGAAGTGATTGACTTTTACCCAAGTAATCTCTTGGCTCTCTGAGTATGAGAGAAATCCTAATACGCTAGTTCAAATTATCTATAACTCAATAATAAGTAAACAAGATTAAAAAAGTTCTTTTTAGGCTTAACACAACATTTCTAACGGTACGAATATTTGTACTTAGCATGGATTGAAGATTGTAGTTGAAATATTGACGTGTAGAAGCTTAGTCGTCCCTGATCACGAACACTGTGTTCATATCCGACCCAGGCGACGGGGCAACGAAAAACCGCCATCGCCCGAAACATGTCTTGTTGGAACCGCCAGATCCACTTTCCGTACTTTTACATTCTTTAAGCACTGGTTACCGTCCTCGTCGAAATCCTAGATTACTTTTTAGCGGTAGGCAGCGGATTGGCTCTGCCCTTGGCATTGTTGAAGTCCATGGGCGACGGTAACCACTCACCATCAGGTGGGCCGTATGCTCGTCTGCCTACAAAGCCAATAAAAAAAAAAACTAGCGAAATAACCTGCACCCACAACCCACTGAATTGTCAATGGATTGCGATTTCGATCCGGTGGTAGATTCAGCGAAACATTAGTTTTGCTATGGCCAGTGATAGAGTGCGCGGTAGTAAACTGTTACAATCGTTTCTTATAATATGTCGTAATCGTTTTTAACATACAGCGCATTCATTGAATTCGAATTCCATAATTACCTCAATACCACCATACAACACACAATCGAATTAAAAATGAAGCTTTCTACAGTTCATCCCTGATTTTGTCGAATTACAGTCCAGACACAGAGAAACCGTCTAATACATTAAGTATCGTTGCAAAGTTCTGTTGTTCTAGTTGGTATACTATTGCCCAATAGATGCTAATCTACATTAAATCACGACTTCGACCTTCAGAACGTTCGATCACCGTCTGCACTTTTAATAATGACCCTATTCTCATTCTTGCAACTGGTTTCTGAAAGGTTCCACTTTCTAATGGTCTAATAAAATATTATTAATAATAATTATCATGAATCTTTGAATTAACCAGCTTAAGTTGGAATCCAAAGTAAGCGTTGTGTAAAAAAATTAATATGTAGGTAGTTTGATTGTCTAATTTTGTAATCGGATAGCTTTGATTGATTTACAAGCAATTTCAAATGTTTCATTTATCAACTATCTTTGATAAATAAATAAGTGGCTAATTAAAATAAATTGTTTACAATACATATGAATACAAAAGCAATTTTCTTCACGTTTTGAGCAGTGTTGAGCAGGCATTTAGCCGATATATGAAATACTTACTTAATGCTTACAAGTTCTCTGATTATTTTGAAATACCTATTATAAAATACACCATTGTTGAAACTATGTACTTGCGACTCAACATTACATACAGGTTTTCATACCTATTTGCTGGTAGCCTAAGGGGATATTCCAGTTTCGCGCGGACGGTTTGGTAAGCTCACGGGCTCAACCTGAGAATTTGCTAACACTAGCCCTACCTAAAGCAGTTCTTCGCAGAATCTACCCCCGAATCGGAATCGCGACCCTCTGAGATCCGGCGAAAAATTCAGTAGGTTATATCTATGGATTAGTTCGATCGTTGAACTTTTCAATTACGACGAAGAGTTCGATGAGGACCTTAATCGGTGCTTGAGGGGTCTAAGAGCACCGAAAGTGAATCCGAAGGATCCGACAAGACATGTTTGGTATCATACTTATTCGAGAAATAGATGGTCGGCGCGCCTGGTAGTTTCCCTTCTTGGTCTTGACGCAGATACTCAGTGTCTCAGGAAAACAAAAAATCACTAATCCTGAATATCGTATTAAGGATAACGAATCAAACTGTTTAAAATATTGAATTGTCATAGGTCTTTATGCCAAATTTCGAATTAATCCGACGTTTTGAAGGGGGTCAAAATCATGTTCAAAGATTCCGTTACATACTAGCATACGTATGAAGCTAATAAAAGCGTATTAATAAATGACGCGCTAAAGCATAGAATATATACAAACGAACATCAACTTGTATAAGAATCAGAAGTAAAGTGTTGCAAGATGATGATTAATAAGCTTTTTATAAAAAAGGGACAACTTTGATTCATAAAATAGCTCTGAAATTATTCGTCCGAAATAATTTTGTTCTCACACACTGAAACACATACTACATTTTGTTCATAGTTCCTAACCGCCGAAATCGATTTAAAGTTATCTTATCGTACATCTATATCAGTCCAAAGTTCACATGAGCGTCTTTATTCCGACACGGGAAAACCGAAAAACAAAATCGTCAATAGCATTTTTAGTAACAAATGTCTTCCTTGCAATGCCGTCAATGATTGGATTAATTCTTATTCTTGGGGTACCATAAGAACCTTTTGTAAGCTGATTTATTTACCCTTTTTTTCACTCATTCAAACTTATGATTCTTGTGTCACTCTTCCACCTAAAGTGCATTATTGCATCGCGTTATAAATAAACAGTATAACAGAATAAATAAAAAGTATGTGATTTATTTTTTCATCGCGGAAAACAATCGAATTCGCATTGAGTGCGTATTTTCTTAGGAAAGTTCATATTATACCTGGCGTCGGGATTTGAAGACCTTTCAACGAGAACAGATGTTCTTGATGGATGTTTTTGGTAGTAGTGTAAATGAAGGATGCAGGGTGCAAAATAAGATTTCAGAGAGTTGTCAAAAATTTCTTAAAAAATATTAGGTATTAGTAACTTGTCTCTCTTACTCCATAGTAAATCTTTAATCCATTAACTACCAATCTATTTGTAGATCTGTCGCTACATAAAACCAAACACACTGTCGTCTTTATTTTTGTAGTAAATATACCCGACATTCATTACCACGATAAAAATATCCGTTGTATCATTAATCCAGGTTATTTATTTTAAAAAGGTTATTTACGTAAAATAATTATAAAAAATATTCATTAAATTATTTTTAGGAAAAAAATATTTATCCAGGCCTATAATTTAAGCTATGTGGTAAAAAAATCGATTGAGTACGAAACATCTAAACATGGATATCTCATATTTTTCCAGGTAGAATAGAATAACTCAACTTTAATGCGGTTTAAGAAAAAAACATTAACTAGCTGCATTCAATGTATGAGGAAATAAAACACAAAACGAAAATATGTTATTAAACTATATATTTGAAAATTACATGCTAACAGAATCATTTAAAAAAAAAAGTCGTTTAATATTATCTACGCCGACTAATTGACTGCCATGTGGCGGGCTGTCATTGTGACGTACACTTATCTATGGTATACGTACAAAACATGGCCACACCACTCCCCTATCGATATTAATCGAATGGCCTAAAGGTCTAGATACCAGGCCAAAAACTCAAAAAAAAAATCGAACAACAACCTCCTTCTAAAATAAAGTAAGTACTAAAACAAAAAAAAAGGTATATCTATAATTCGCTAAACAGGAATGAAATTATAACATTGCGATAGATATCCCGGCGTTGACACTACATTGCAAGTTATGTACTGCTAACATAAATTCTACACACAATTATAATTAGGTGCACTACGAACATCAATAACATCGCGTATAAGACGAGAAACTAATCTTAAAAAAGATAGGGAATACGATATTAGGCATAATGCACGCTTAATTTACTTATGATTATAATTAAAAACAAAAAAAACATAATTTTAATCAACAATAATAATAGTATTCTTCGACCACGAATTTTAATCTAAAATTATTATAATATTTAAAATAACAAAAAAAGAACTAAAAATTAATTCCGTAATTAAGAACAAAATATATGTATATTTCAATGCAAAACGACGATCGACTCTTTCAATCAGTCTTATAGTTGGAAGGTTTGCATTCAGCTGTAATTTCATAAAATTAAAATAATATTTTGTACGAATCGAATTGAGCTTATAGTTAAACGGTACTGCTAATTATAACGCCACAACTTAACCGGCCATAAAAACTTCGGCAGTAGATAATCCTAAATTTTACCGGCTGCCATTCGTCGCGACACTTCGATCACTCACTCCATTGTCATTCTCCAAAAGAGAGCGCTAGACGTCTCAATAACTCGCTTAACCACATCCACAGTCTTTCACAACGGTGGACTCGCGGTCCTGTTATTAGGGCGTGACCCCTACTAATGCTGGTTTGGTATTACGTATGCCGTAGACCCCGGGAGGTCCGACACGATCGCCTAAAGTTGTGCCTCCGTCGGGCTCTGCCATAAGTTTGACGGCAGCGTGTCGTAATGAGACGGCACCGTTGTCAGGGCTTCGGCAGTGCTTCTGTTTATCGAGCAGTTCTGTAACAAGGGTTATCGTTAATAGAATTCAAGTCACCTTAAGCTAATAATAACTACGCTTGAGACTACCTTGCGTTTCTTAACCTCAACCTAGGCTTACAAAATAGACTCGACATAAGCCCTAGTAAATTTTTAAGGCAAATTTAATCATTGACGTTTTAAGGCAATAAAGAAATTAACGTGAATGTATATTTTGACGACTGACGAGATACATACATGTCAGATATTATTATTATTAGATTCTCGGGTCGGTATATTTTTTTTCTTTGTAAACACAACTATTATTAAATGACTTCAGCTGTGAAGTAGTAACGTCGTCTTCAAAAAGGAATCTTGATTCATTTTACTTTAATATCATTAATATAATTAACATATGATTTATTTTAATATAAGAGTATTATAAGCTTGCCTATTTCTCAACCAAAGTTATGTGTTTTAAATTGGCCGATGGGACGGATTTATCCAATACAAAATATATTATTTGTTGGCTCTCACAAACAATTCAGAACCATCTAGATTCTAGAGCAAAAAAAAAGTGAACACGGGAGTTTTATTGGATAATTATATAAGTTATTAATTATGGGTATTAATATAAGTAAAATCAACAGTGTAATTCGCAAGATTGTAACTACTTAAATTATATTAGATTGAAGATTGTTTTAAATTAAAACGAATGTTCAAGTTCAACAGTAGAATAGAATCATGCTATAAAATTTGTTTAATGTAGCTAATGCTTGGAATTATGAGCTCTGGTGGTCCGCAACACGTTGTTTGCACAGCTTTCAACTATACAAGTCATGTTGATCGCAATGACTTTGAAATGTATGGCAATGTTAATTAACCATTTGACTGCCTGTAGGTCACCGGTGCCCTACGCGCCGCACTGAAGTAATTACGTCGTTTTTTTTTTTGACACGATTGTCTCTTAAGATGGAACAACACGAATTTATTAAATAGTGATAGGTACTATTAATCCTTTTTTTTTATTGCCTTTGTTGGCAGACGAGCATACGGCCCACCTGATGGTGAGTGGTTACCGTCGCCCATGGACTTCAGCAATGCCAGGGGCAGAGCCAAGCCGTTGCCTACCGCAAAAATAAAAAGTATTTCTTATACTAAAATAAAAAGCATTTCTTTTGCTTGTAAAAAAACTATAATAAAACCCCTTTTACGATTTAATCAGTCACCGTGGCCACGGAAACTGTAAAGCATTGGAAGTTTTGGAAATAATATAATGACAATAAAAAAAACGCAAGATTAAAACGTAAAAATAGTTTTAATTATGTACTTCACACAATCTAATTAGGTACATGTAGGCATTTCGAGCCGTATTTACTGGTGGGTGACATAATGTTTACGTACAATTAAATGTACAACGCAAGGCTAACTTAAACTTTAAAAATATTGAGTTTAGGTTAAAATTTATCTTTTATTTTTATTTTATTGCGTAGATGGATGGACGAGCTCACAGTCCATCTGGTGTTAAGTGGTAACTGGAGCCCATAGATATCTACATATTAATGCCGCCACCCACCTTAAGATATGAGTTCTAAGGTCTCAGTATAGTTACAACGGCTGCTCCACCCTTCAAAGCGAAACGCATTACTGCTTTACGGCAGAAATAGGCAGGGTGGTACGTACCCGCGCGGACTCACAAGAGGCCTTACCACCAGTTAAAGATCTATCTGCATAGATCATGCTAACTGGATACATTATAATTTTTATTTTTTATTTTTTTATTGCTTAGATGGGTGGAAGAGCTCACAGCTCACCTGGTGTTGAGTGGTTACTGGAGCCCATAGACATCCACAACGTAAATGCGCCACCCACCTTGAGATATAAGTTCTAAGGTCTCAAGTAAAGTTACAACGGCTGCCCCACCCTTCAAACCGAAACGTATTACTGCTTCACGGCCGAAATAGGCAGGGTGGTGGCACCCACCCGCGCGGACTCACAAGAGGTCCTACCACCAGTAATTACGCAAATTAAAATTTTGCAGGTTTGATTTTTATTACACGATGTTATATTAGTTTTGTTTCAACGACTGTTGCAGTCAATTTGATATTCTTCAATGCAAAAAGTCGGGTTATGATTTTCGATTATTATGACCGAGAATCATAACACGAATTTTTAGTACAACCAGTTATATTTAAGTGTTAAATTTTATTATAACCTAAACATAATAATATTAATGTTTAAGTTAGCCCATTTCTTCAGCGTTGACATACATATTAAATAAATGACTAGTTGTACCCGTCCGCTTCGCTGGGCATTTAAAATTAACACTATTATTTCTCACCCCCCCAAAAAGATTTTCATCATTAACGCCCCCAAAACTGGTGCAGGGAGTCCAACACTCATATAAATATTAGCCTATCCATTAAGTACATGTATTTTCTACATGGATACCAAGTTTCAAGTCAATCGGATGCATGGTTCAATATTTATAACGGAACATCCGTAAAAACCACTGTAGATTTATATATTAGTATAGATATGAACATTTTGTTTGCTTACTTGTTCCGCTCTCACCTTGGGTTGTTGGCGGTAAGTGTCCACACATTCGACTGGCAACTTGATCATCTCCACCTTGTACTTGTAGCCGTACGATGTCAATTTCACAATGGTGTGAAGTGGCACGTTCATGTAAGGGAGTTCGTCTGTGGATATAAATACGGCGTTTATGAAGCTTGCTTTGTATTTAATTACATAAATCTATTAGACGTATTTGTAAATATGACAAAGAAAATAATGCTTTGTGCTTATAATGGCCCACTGAGTTTCTCGCCGGATCGTCTCAGTGGGTCGCGCTTCTGATCCAGTAGTACATTCTGTGAAGCACTGCCCTTGCTAGGGTCAATGTTAGCAACACTCCGGCTTGAGCCCCGTGAGCTCACCTACACACGTTAGGGTAAAGCTGAAATAGCCTCTCAAGGCTATCAGCATAGGTAGGGAAAAAAAATTATATATATATTAACGCTTACCAAGTTTCGCGTCTAAGAAGTATCCGAGCATGCATCTCAGTACAGCTTGATGGCCGACCACCACGACGTTGTGCTCATCCTCCAGCGCAGACAGCACCGGCCTCAGTCTGGTCATTATGTCTATATAAGACTCGCCCCACGGGTAGCGATAACGGAGCTTGTCCTGATCACGCCAAGCGAATTCCTGCGGGAAACGCTCTTGCATCTCTTCGTATGTCAGCCCTTCGCAGATGCCCTATGGAAGAAGAGTAAGCAGTGAGCAAATTGTGGACAGTATGTGCGCGATCAGAAAAATGGTATACGAGATTAGAACATTATTTAAGTAATTAATATTAATCATAGAGGTAGGAATCTAATGCGCTGATCGGACCAGATAGCTTATTGCTTAGATGGGTGGACGAGCTCACAGCCCACCTGGTGTGAAGTGGTTACTGGACCTCTACAGCGTAAATGCTCCACCCAGCTTGAGATATAAGTTCTAAGTAAAACGATGCCATCCGCGCAGCCCAGGATTGTTAGGGCTGACGCAGTTCAGGAGAAAGTTGTTAAAGAAGGCCACGACCTTCAGTATTGAGAATTATCGACGCAAGTAAGAGGATATTTACAGTATTACATTTACAGTATTCGTCTGAAGTGGCGTAAATGTTTTTTTTTTATGATTGAAGTATTACTGGTGACCCGGAGGCCTTTCTAGTTTCGCCAGGCCAGGTGGGTGACCTGAGGCTCAGCCCGGAGGGGTGGGATTTGCTAACAGTTGCCCGAGCGCCTCCGAAAAAGACCTAACAACTTAAGAGCAGCTGCTTCACGAATGAATCTACTACCGGACCGGAATCGCAACCCACTGAGAAGATCCGACGAGAAACTCAGCGGGCACCCGCGTAAATGTTACGATTTAAATAGATTTAAAGCTCTGTTAACATAGTGAACCGTCCTCTAAACGAACTACTAAATTGGTTTATTGCCAATTTTTATATCGACATATTTTGCTGGGTATATGTTGATGCTGTAAATATATTTTTTTTATTGCTTTGATGGTTGGACGAGCTCACAGTCCACCTGGTGTTGTGGTTACTGGAGCACATAGACATCTACAACGTAAATGCGCCACCCACCTTGAGATCTAAGTTGTAAGGTCTTAGTATAGTTACAACGGCTGCCCCCCCCCCCCCCTTCAAATAGAAACGCACTACTGCTTCACGGCAGAAAGAGGCGAGGTGGTGGTACCTACCCGCGCGGACTCACAAGAAGTCCTACCACCAGTATTTACGCAAATTATAATTTTGCGGGTTTAATTTTTATTACACGATGTCATTCCTTCACCGTGGAAGTCAATCGTGAACATTTGTCGAGTAAGTATTTCATTAGAAAAATTGGTACCCGCCTGAGATTCGAACACCGGTGCATCGCTCATCACGAATGCACCGGACGTCTTATCCTTTAGGCCACGACGGCTTTGTTTGTTTGTTGCCTACGTACACATTGATCACGACGTCACCTTATCATTACATCCATAGCAATTATTGTTAGCCCAAATTTCTGACATAAAATCACATTTATGTTAATACAGGCATTCGATACAGAAAGATCTGGTTACGATGATTCTTTATAATAAGTACGTTACGAAATACTTCATGAAGACCACACTTATATAGCTAATGTTATCGTAACATAAAATATACTTTACTTTATTACTGATGGTAGGACCTCTTGTGAGTCCGCGCGGGTAGGTACCACCACCCTGCCTATTTCAGCCGTGAGGCAGTAATGCGTTTCGGTTTGAAGGGTGGGGCAGCCGTTGTAATTATACTGAGACCTTAGAACTTATATCACAAGTTGGGTGGCGCATTTACGTTGTAGATGTCTATGGGCTCCAGTTACCACTTAACACCATGTGGGATGTGAGCTCGCCCAATCATCTAAGCAATAAAAAATATATATACAACAACAAACAAACTTACAAAAACAAACAAAAGCAAATCTGATATATATATCTAATATATAAAATTCTCGTGTCACAATGTTCGTTCCCATACTCCTCCGAAACCGCTTGACCGATTCTCATGAAATTTTTTATGCATATTCAGTAAGCCTGAGAATCGGCTACTATCTATTTTTCATACCCCTAAGTGATTAGGGTTGTCCACCCCTAACATTTTTTTTTTTTATTTGGACATATTTTTTTTGTTATAATGAGGTATTATATGGTTGAATGAGGTTTTGTTATTTTTATTATATACTCCCTCATCGTTCATAGCACTACATACCTCTTTCACTCATTTACCACATCCTTGCACACTTACAATAAGTTAGTTTTTTTCTCTACACTAGAAATTCCCTAGAAATCTTATATATGACAAAACAATATTTGCCGGGTCAGCTAGTATATATCTATTTTAAGCATCCCAAAATCGGTAAACATTTAATGCTTTACTTGCCTAATAGAGTTGAGGTAAGTTTTTACCGCGAATTATGTCTGTGTCTTAAATAATAACATTTACGATACAGTTATTACAGTACAGTGAAATAATATTATTATGTTCTTATCATTTATTTGAGAAGTCATTGTTCTGTGTGTTCTTGAAGAGGTTTTTAACCTGAACGATACAATCGATTGTGTGAATGACCAGTCAAAAGAGTATATTTGTTTTAACTTTGACAGAAAGAACATAAGCGTCGCATTTAATTATAATTTCATTACTAAGATAGGTGTGGACGAGCTCACGGCACACCTGGTGCTAAGTGGTCATTGGAGCCTATGGACATCAACAACGTCAATGCCGCCGCCCATCTTGAGACATGAGTTCTAAGTCTCAGATTTTACAGTACAACGGCTGCCCTAGCCTTCAAACCGAAACGCATTACTGCATCACAGCAGAAATAGGCAGCAGAATATATAGGCAGTGATGGTACCTACTCGTGTGGTCTCACAGGACTCTCTATGAATAGTAAATTCAAAAACAGTATTTATTCATTACCAACTGGTACGCTACAACATCTAAAAGGTTTATCGGTTTGGGCTTTAAAAAACAAATGTCCATTGGTAAATTGTCCGTTCTTTGTATTTAGCATTTATTAGCCTAGTGTATAAAAGTAATTATATTATAGTATATTAGTCATACACATATTATAAGTATATTAATCAAAGATTATCTGATTAGTGGTATGCAAATAAATTTCCAGAAAAAAATTTATCGAATTCGTCGAACTTGAAAATCGTATTATCGAACGAGTCGATGACTGAGCTCAACGTTAATCAGTGACATCACGAAAAAAGATTATAGAAGGAAGTATTTATAAATTTTCAAGTCAAATTTTTCGTCTACAATGCCTCTCTAAAGATAATATTTGATAAGTACCACGAATCTCTAAAATAAACTCTCATCGGTGTTGCTAGCGCTCTGTTACGTTTTTTTTTTTATTTTTATTGCCCTTGTAGGCAGACGAGTATACGGCCCACCTGATGGGGCACTTCAGCAGTGCCAGGGGCAGAGCCAAGCCGCTGCCTACTCTTAAGTACTCTCCACAAGCCTCGTTTATAGAAGGATATGTCATAGCGCTCGGGAAACACCGTAGAGGGGAGCTCATTCCAAAGCCGGATGGTACGTGGTAAAAAAGATCTCTGGAAGCGCACTGTGAATGAACGCAGTGGCTCCAGGTAATTTTTTCTTGAAATAAGTTTTAATAGATTTTTAATTCATGTTGTTTCGAAAGTTCTTTATGTTACGATAAAATATGCAAAGAAACCGATATTCTAATCGTTGATTTATTGTTTTTTATTGCTTCGTTGTCATACACAAAATATCAGATTGTTATCGATAACGCGGAAAAAAAACAAAGATATCGTTCGTCACTGTACTTTAAAATACAAATTAGTTGTTTATTATTAAAATTGTACGCAATATTTTCTGGAAAATTGAGCTGATTAATATGAAACTCACTTGCACAAACGTATACTGAGTGAATAATCGCATAACTCTTAAATATTTTTAATACGCTTTTGTTAGCTTCTGACGTATGTATGTTAGCATGTAAAGGAATCTTTGAACATGATTATGACCCCCTTCAAAACGTCGGATTAACTCCATATTTGGTGTACTTCTTAAGGACCGATGACAATACAAAAATGAAAAATAAATAATAGTTTAAAAAATTTAACAAAATATGATTTTATAGAAAATCCAACAAAAAAATTGAAAATTCAATTTAATAAATTTGAATTAAAAATGATTTTATTGTAAAAAAGGCGTGGGGTGCATGGTATCAGTAGTTATAAATATTTTATGAACAGATATGAGTAGAAGGGTTATTTTGATAATATCCTGAAAAGCACCCCACGCTTTTTTACAATAAAATCATTTTTTCTTACACTATTTTTAATTCAAATTTATTAAAATTTATTTTTTATAATAATAATAATATAATATTATAAAGAGGAAAGATTTGTTTGTTTGTTTGTTTCGAATAGGCTCCGAAACTACTGGACCGATTTGAAAAATTCTTTTTCCATTAGAAGCCGAGATTGTCCCTGATGAACATAGGCTACTTTTTTTTTTTTTTTTTTGGTTTCATGTGTGTTTTAATGTTTCCGAAGCGAAGCGAGGGCGGGTCGCTAGTTTTCTATAAAAGTGTATTTTGTTAGTTTTTTTAAACTATTATTTTTTCATATACCAGCATCGACAATTACGCAATGAATCCATCGCTACCGAGGCTAGTCAATTTTGTTTGGTATGTTTACTTAATTTTTATATTATATGAACGAGCTCACTGCCCATCTGAAGTTAAACGAATGTCATCGGTCATATTAAGTGAATATCTCAAATGCATTGTGATAGTATACTACATATGATATCTCAGTTGTATTGTGTTATTTTTACTACACAGACTGAAAAACTAGAATGCTTCAGATATAGGAAAAATGCATGGTGCCCATTAGCGTGGGCTAACGTCACTCTTAAGCCCATAGACACAGCCCACTGAGTTTCTCGCCGGATCTTCTCAGTGGGTCGCGTTTCCGATCCGGTGGTAGATTTTGCGAAGCACTGCTCGTGCTAGGGCCAGTGTTAGCAACACTCCCGGCTTGAGCCCCGTGAGCTCACCTACACGTCAAGGAGAAGCTGATACAGCCTCTCAAGGGCTATCAGTATAGGTAGGAAAAACAAAAGTCACTTAAACTTGAATATTATTCTCCCAGATGGAGCGAAAGCCGCGTGTGAAGACAGAATGATATATTTTACTTATCGAAGGGTGAAAGGCGACATAGTTTAAGTGACATATCGCTTAATACGCTACATTCGTTTTTGTAATTAAAGATGCGTTTTATTTGGTATTATCTTTAATTGTAGTTTAATTAGGTTTACTCTATTCAAATATGTTTACTGAAGAAGTTTTTTTTTTGTTACGATAATTTTTCAAAATTTTAAGTTCTCCTGTAAAGGTTATTTATTTTTTTATTGCTTATTTGGGTGGATGAGCTCACAGCCCGCCTGGCGGTTAAGTGGTTACTGGAGCCCATAGACATCTACGACGTAAATGCGCCACCCACCTTGAGATATAAGTTCTAAGATCTCAGTATAGTTACAACGGCTGCCCCACCCTGTAAACCGAAACGCATTACTGCTTCACGGCAGAAATAGGCAGGGTGGTGGTCTCACTTTAACTGAGCTTTACGATGAAGTAGATTGGGGGTTCTATTATTTATTACGGAGTGCATTACCAGGTTTCGCTTCGAATTATTTATAATTTACCTACACTTGCGCCATACGTCGCACGTGTAACCTTTATTGAAGTGCCATAAAGAATTAGAATGTTTCAAGCAGATTTTTCTATTCCCTACCTAATTGCTGGTAGCCCAAAAGGCTATTCCAATTACTCACCGTCCGGTAGATGAGCTCATTGGTGGTACCTACCCGCGCACGCACAAGAGGTCCTTAAACCATAATTGAGTCGACTATTATCAAAGCCGGCAATCTGACTTTTGGACAATGATTGGTAAAACAGAAAAACGAATTATTGACTTTAAATTCCATTGGCAGTCACAAAACTCTTCGGAACGACATCTTAGATAAATAACAGGTTAACTATTAACCTTTATTTAATGCAGGTTTTGAACCGTATTCTTTGAAGGAGACGATTATATTCAAATCAATCTGTATTGACATATCAATAAAAAAATTTTGTCCAAATGCACAGATTGCCACCTTTGATAATAGACGACTCATATAGCCTTTTAATTTAGAGCATATATCTTACGGCGTCTAATTCGTTGAGTGCTCGCACGGGTCTCTTCACGGCGTGTATGTCGGCGGCCGTCTGCTTGGTGCGCCTCAGCTCCGAGGTCCAGACACTGACAGGGTCTATTGTCGCCATAGCGTTGAAATAATCGGCGAGGGCCCGCGCGTACAGCTGTCCTCTGGCCGACAGAGCCGCGTCCCCCCCGATACGACCAAGCACGTTGTATTCGCTTTCGCCGTGCTGTAACAATAAACATTTTTAAATACAGAAATAAATCAAGATCATATTATTTCTGTGTTTTCAAACCATAAAATGACAAGGTTATATCGCACATACGGTGCTATAAAGTCACTTATGCAATTTAATTTGTTAAAACTTTTGTTAAAACTGAACTGAGCATGAGAAAATACATTTTTTAATAGTTATCAGCTGATGAGATGTTTGCTTTTACTGATGAAGTTTAAAGTTGCAGTTTAAATATTGTCGTTTTTATTTCTTTAGTCTAGCAGAACTATATAAGAACTATATGTAATAAGATGTTGAATTTTCCAACGTTTTCCTGAAAAATTACATAATTTGCATAAGTGAAGTTATCGCACCGTATGTGTGCGATATTTAGAGATCCTTATTCAAAAGTTGAGTAAAGTTTTAAGTTATTAAGCCTCAGTTCGCGATTTATGGAAAAAAGCTGTCAAGGCTTTAATAAAAAAGGAGTCCATATGACCGCGACAGCTCTGCCAAGAGTAGCCGACTATGATGATGATGATAATCGGAAAGGAAAATTACCGATTAATTTTAGTTTAGCGTTTTAAATCTCTGCTGATTCTGAATCTATGCTGAAAGCCTCAAAATTTATTTGGTACAGTTAGCAACTCATCATGACAACGCAAAACTTGTTATCTGAATGTTTTTTTAGTCGATTTGTTTGTGCTGCGCAATTTAAATCTATTAATGTTTTTTTTTTTGTGTAATACGGAAAATAAAAACAATCTGTGGCGGTGGCCATCATACAACACATGATATTTGACAAATGCCTGAATCACGTTAAGACATTTTCAAGATAAAATTTATACAAGTTCCGGACTACAACATTCGGACCGTCGATCTACCGAGCAATATCACCCGCTCGGTGGAAAATCTTCCCTTTCTCGTATATCTCTACAACTGCAGCACACTTCATCATACATCAGCTGCTACAAATCCTTATATAATATTATATCCAGCGCTATGTTAGCGCTATGACATGTCCTTCTTCAAACGAGGCTTGTGGAGAGCATTAAGCGGTAGGCAGCGGCTTGGCTCTGCCCCTGGCATTGCTGAAGTCCATAGGCGACGGTAACCACTCACTATCAAGTGGGCCGTATGCCCGTCTGCCTTCAAGGGCAATAAAAAAAAACCAAGTTTAGGTACATGTTATTCATAGTTTATGAAAATTTGCAATCTTGTTTGTTATTATTCAATGTTATTACATTATTTTCGACATTTGGAATACTTTGCAGTTTTCGTGGTCACAGACGACTCTATAATGTATTGTAACGAAAACAATTCGCGGAAACCGAAGAAAATACTATCTTACGTCATTTTTAGGTCATCCTTTATTCGATTCATTCAAAAATATAAAAATATATATAAAAATGATAAAACGTAATATATACGTAAATAATAAAACGTAAACTTGTTTTAATAATTCATGCTTCAGTAAATGTGTCTGTATATACTTCCTACTTATATACACATAATATGGTATTAGTACATATTATTATATTATGTATTTATTACTGGCGTTAGGATCTCTTGTAAGTCCGCGCGGGTGGGTACCACCACTCCCTTCTATTTCTGCCGTGAAGCAGTAAAGCGTTTCGGTTTGAAAGGTGGGGCAGCTGTAGTGATTCTTTTATCTCAAGATGGGTGGCGCATTTACGTCGTAGATGTCTATGGGCTTCAGTAACCACTTAACACCAGATGGGCTGTGAGCATGTCCACCCATCTAAGCAATAAAAAAAAACTTCGTAAATTACAATACACGCGTGTATACACTTACAACACACGCTTCGCTGTATTGAAAAACAATCGGCATTCACAACGAAATTTTGATACCGATATCTCGCGAATCCGCTTGGAAATTTCCATGAGGCGGCATCGGTTGTGGATGATTTTATATTTGTTATTATTAGAGTGTGATGTAGACGCAGTTGGCACAGATAAGGGATCCGTTTCGATTCTAAACGCTAGAAATTTAAGTAGGTATGCGACAGTGAAATATGCTTTAGTGTAGCGTCTCGTTCTAAAACCGATTTGTGTTTATTCAAGAGTAGATCTAGCATATCGTTCAGATATTATTTTTGAAATACGTATTATCTATCGCTGGTGGTAGGACCTCTTGTGAGTCCGCACGGATAGGTACCACCACCCCGCCTATTTCTGCCGTGAAGCAGTAATGCGTTTCGGTTTGAAATGTGGGGTAGCCGTTGTAACTATACTGAGACCTTAGAACTTATATCTCAAGGTGGGTGGCGTATTTACATTGTAGATGTCTATGGGCTCCAGTAACCACTTAACACCAGGTGGGCTGTGAGCTCGTAAATCGATCTAAGCAATAAAAAAAAAATATCGTTCAGATATTATTTTTGAAGTTAGTATTATCTATAAACATGTTCTATGATTATCAGAAGACTAATTTCGCGATATCTGATATCAATGTATATGAAGATACTCCTAGTTCCGTATTCATTTTTATTTACGATGCGAAATATGTAACTATGACATAGAAATTGCGATCATATCCTTATTTTAGGGTTGAGCTTATTTTTTTTTACAAATTTTGCAGATTTTGCTAAAATTTTTTGAAGAAGAGTACCTTCAAACTTTAAAAAAAAATATGAAAAATCAATGCTAAAATGATTTTAAATAGATATTTATAAATATTATTAACTTATTAAAAAGGTTATACCTACAGGTCGATATATAACACCTATTAATTGAATTCCGAAATAGTCGGTATTTCGACGCTCCGCTATTTATACGCATTAATACACAGTCGATCTATCGACGGTTCACGCTCAAAGTGTTACATACAATAACTGCTCGGAAAACTTACCCGGGTGAAATAAATCGTTTGCGGAAGACCCCTCATCCCGGACAAATAGCCGAGTATACCGGACTCCTTTTGTCCGGCTACTTTATGAGCGGTGACAGTCTCTCCCATGTTTTCCACTCTAACAAACCCAATGCTTTCCAGGCCTGCGTCAATGGGCTCATATTGTCTCATGTAATGCTCCAATTTCTTCCTGAGGTCATCGACCGCCTCCTCCTCGCTCATGTCCTTGTAGTCAGCGGAATAGTGAAGGATCTCAATGATGTTTCGTTCCAGTAGCTCTTGGTCCTCACAGACACACTCGATAAATAAAATCCTGAAGCCCATATCAGAGAGGCAGTAGTCGCTCAGCTCACGGCGCTGCTCCCGAGTTATATTGGTGCCGTCAAATATCTGAAAAAATTAACTACATTCACAAAACGACATTGATATCCTTAACCCTCAGATACAGCCCACCGAGTTTCTCGCCGGATCTTCTCAGTGGGTCGCGTTTCCGATTCAATGGTAGATTCTGCGAAGCACAGCTCGTGCTAGGGTTCGTGTTAGCAACGTCGTCAGGTTTGAGCCCCGTAAGCTCATCTACTAGTTAAGGTTACGCTGAAATAGCCTCTCAAGGCTCGCAGCTTAGGTAGGATAAACAAAACTGAGCTCCTGATGGTCTCTCTGTGAAGGTCTAACTAACATGTTTTTAAAGTCACACATAAATAAGTTTACTCTGTATATGTACGTATTGTAAAAAATATTTATTTGTGTGCGTTGACATCGTTATTCATCGAGATTCCTTTGCGAATTATATTAAAATAATTACACGATTAATCCGCAAAGTTCTTGTAAATTCTATTCAATATTCTTCTACTGTCGTTCTATTAATTCACCGCTATTCTGAAATACATTGAATTTATCATTGATCCGGTAATAAGACACGCTGTACTTAGTCCACGGAAAACACGAAATTGGGTTAGATCCAATATAAAAGTAACCATAAAAAAGATAGATATCGAGGGGTAAAAGGTTATTTGGTTTAAGAGACACTTCGCTTAATACGCGACATTTATCGTTGTAATTAAAGGTCCGTTTTATTTGGTACTAGCGACCCGCCTTCGCTTCGATTCGGAAACTTAAAATTTTATTATTGATAGCTGAGTCCCGCGATGTTACCTGTGGGTGAAGCTGCGGGGCGAAGCTAGTCTAAAAGAAGTAGCCTAAGTTACTCCTTATATCATCAGCTACCTATCAGTGAAAGTCTCGTCAAAATCGGTCCAGCCGTTCCAGAGATTAGCCAGAACAAACAGACAAACAGACTTTGACAGATTTTTTTTGGTATATGTATTTTAGTATATGCATACTTACCCATTTAGTAAAAAGTGGTTATTTTATTATTACAAACAGACACTCCAATTTTATTTATTCGTATAGATTAGTATCAACATTTCAATGTTTTTAATTAAACTCCAATTAAGTTTACCCCATTTAAATAGCCGAAGAAGTTTTTTTTTTTTTGTTATGATATTTTTTCCAAATTTAAAAACTCAAAATGGCTCTCCTGTAAAGTTTGAAAAAAATTTCGCTTAATCCAAATATCCTTTCCCCCTCTATATCTTCGAGTGTAAGTGTTTAAAGATACATACAGCAACACTGTTTTTTTATTTATGATATTTTTTCCAAATTTAAAAACTTAAAATGGCTCTCCTGTAAAGTTTGAAAAAAATTTCGCTTAATCCAAATATCCTTTCCCCCTCTATATCTTCGAGTGTAAGTGTTTAAAGATACATACAGCAACACTGTTCCCATCCTTGAGCCAGATGACGGCGTCTTGTACGGCCTCGTGTGCGCTTTGACGACGGATCGCGGACCCTTGCTGGTTGTCCGCGCGGAAGATGTCGTGGCTGCCGTACAAGGCCATGTGCCGGCGACGGTACTCGCTGCAGTCAAATACTAAAAAAAAAGAATGCCCCAGAATGTTCTCAACTAAATTCTAAATTAACGGCACGTCGATAAAATAAGTCGTCGTGGCCTAAAGGATAAGACGTCCGGTGCATTCGTGTTGAGCGATGCACCAGGGTTCGAATCTCAGGCGGGTACTAATTTTTCTAATGAATATACGTACTCAAAAAATGTTCACGATTGACTTCCACGGTGAAGGAATAACATCGTGTAATAAAAATCAAGCCCGCAAAATTATAATTTGCGTAATTACTGGTGGTAGGACCTCTTGTGAGTCCGCGCGAGTAGGTACCACCGCCCTGTCTATTTCTGCCGTGAAGCAGTAATGCGTTTCGTTTTGAAGGGTAGGGCAGCCGTTGTAACTATATTGAGATCTTAGAACTTATATCTCAAGGTGGGTGGCGCATTTACGTTGTAAATGTCTATGGGCTCCAGTAACCATTAAACACCAGTTGAGCTGTGAGCTCGTCCACCTATCTAAGCAATAAAAAATAAATAAATAAATTAACGGCACGTCGATATAATAATTCCTAAATCCTCTCGATAAAATTCTGATAGAGTTTTTTTGCGTCGCAATTTAAAGTTTAATAAATAACAACTATGTATACTGTTTAGAATCTTATTCGATAAAGTTATCTATAAAAAAGTTTTATTTGTAAATTATTATTGATATCTATTGAAGTGTCCATTTAGGTAGTTTATCTCTACAGACCTTTTAACAACATAATAGCGTGGGACCTTGAGACAGATACCGGCTAGATTGGGTAATCAAAGGGCCTTGCCAAATTTATCATAGTTAGACATGTCCCTATCTTATCAGGCTATAGAACGAGAGGGTTTTATTATGTATCCTAATGCAGATGAGTTGTAGGTCAACAACGCTATCTGGACGATGTCGTGATAACGTTAACAACACATGAAAACATGGATCGCTCTAGTACTATTGCTTGCAACTATTCTTTGCCTTTTTGTGGACAAATCATGGCCTAAAATATGTCTCTACATAATAATATTAGAAAATAACCTTATGCCTTGTTAGCAAAAAGACATAGCAAGAAACATTAAGGAAAAAGAAAACTAAAAATACACTGTACCCGAGGTAAGTAAGACTCCAACTGACAAATATTTTACATACGCTGGCACAGCGAGTATTTAAATTTACTACGCTTGTGGATTTCGGGACAAACATACCTATATGAGACATGAGTATTTTTTTAAGGAAGTAACATCCTGACTTTTAATACTCTTCTTCTTCATTATATCCAGATTTTCCGACTAGGTGGGGTCGGTACAATGATTTTTTCTATTCCATTCTCTTCTATCAACCGCCATCTCAACACTTATTTCTTCTCTCTCTCTCTCTCATCGTCATTCATACACTCCATCCATGTCTTCTTCGGTCGAAATCTTCCCCCTCTACCTTGCACTACCATTCTCATACACCTCCTAGTCACATGCATCTCCTCTCTACGCATCACATGTCCATACCACGTTAACCATCCGCTCTTTAATTTGATAATGAGCTGGGCTACTTTCACACTTCCTCTGATATACTCATTCCTTATCTTGTCCATTCTTGTCACTCCACACATCCATCTCAACATTCGCATCTCTGCCGCATGCACTCCTCTTTCATGCTTTACTTTTTAATATCTATACTAATATTATAAAGCTGAAGAGTTTGTTTGTTTGAACGCGCTAATCTCAGGAACTACTGGTTTGAAAACTTCTTTTAGTGTCAGATAGCTTATTTATTGAGGAAGGCTATAGGCTATATAACATCACGCTAAGACTAACAGGACCAATAGAACCAAGCGGAGCACCAATAAAGAATGTTTCAAAATCGGGGTATTTTTCCCTTTTGAGAGCTTACGCTATATGTAGATATACGCCAAAGTAACTATTCCACGCGGACGAAGTCGCGGGCAAAAGCTATATACTACAAATGTGAAAGCCCAGAAGAGAGACACAAACTCTTGTTCTGTTCCCGAATTCGATCGGTCATCATGACCAATTTTGCAAAGTGAATTTTGAAAGTGATGTCAGAGATACAGTAAAGGAGAATGATAAATTAATACAATTACTAGCATACCATGGAACTGAGCCATTAATTTGCCATAAAAATATTCGTCAGAAAGATCCGATGATTTTAGTATAGCTAAATTATGTAGGTACAGTTGTATTAACAATGAAAAGTAATACTGCTGTGCATACAGTGTGTTAAAATTCTTGTGATAAAAATAATTTTTAATTACGAGTATGTGCCTCTTTACGAACATCATTTACATGTGTTAGGAAGGCACTTCATATTATTAAATATATTTTCTTAATAGAATTATTCATATATCATGTTTTAATGCTATGTTATAATTGTATTACTGGTGGTAGGACCTCTTGTGAGTAACTTGTAAACCGAAACGCATTGCTGCTTCACGGCAGAAATATGCAGGATGGTGGTACCTACCCACGCGGACTCACATGAGGTCCTACCACCAGTTTAATTACGACTCATGAAACTCGAAGATGATACAGCAGTTACGCAATTCAAAGCTCATAATTACAATACCTTTGGTGCTTTCTCCATTCCAGTTGAGATGTCTGGCAAGTCGGTGTGCCAGCTGACTCTTGCCACGAGCTGGCAGACCAACCAGGGCTATGAGGAGCGGCGCAAATTGACTGATACGACGCGAGCGGATCGTTGCTGCAACAAAATATTACCTTATAAATGCATAGTCCGATATGGATATTCAAATAACCGCTATTCCTTCCCATATGTAGCTAACTTTTAGCGACAGCCAAATAAGTGGCTAAGAAGAGTACTTCTTTGCATAGTCAGTTGCGTAATTAAGTCCACTTTCAGACTGAGCGCCGTGAACTCACCTACCAAACCGTGCGTAACTGGAATAGCCCCTCGAGGATACAGGTGATTAGGTAAAAAAAATATATAGCAAAATTCCTATTATTGCAGTAACCCCAGAAATTGCCATGGACTTCTTTGGAAAAACATTTGTAAGATACCAGATAATGTCAAAAGCGCACATATTTTTTTCCCCCCTACCTATTCGCTGGTAGCCTAAGAGGCTATTCCAGCTACGCCCAGACGGGTAAGTGAGCTCACGAGCTCAACTTGAGAAAATTTGCTAACACTAGCCCTAGCAAGAGCAGTGCTTCGCAGTATCTACCATCGGATCGGAATCGCGACTCACTGGCAAGATCCGACGAGAAACTCAGTGGGTGGACCTCTTTGGAAGACACTATTAAACACATGTAAATTACTGTTTTACTTGCATAGTTTGCACAGTTGCCTCACTCGTCATTATAACACCGAGCTCTGCCATTGGACAGATCAAATCACCAAAACGTGTTTGAACGTGGTATTTGAAAATAGGAGAAAAATCTTAAAAATCTTACCTATCTTACTTATCTAACAATCTTATCTTAGTGGGCCGAGTCTAGGGGCTAGTTCGCTCGTCGAACTCTTCGTCGCAATCAACGAATTCGACGAGGACGGTGGCCGATGTTTGAGAGACCTAAAAGCACCGAGAGTGAATCCGTGAAGTCGTTATTTGGCAATTTAAAAAAAACCTGATTTATTTGGTGTTATCATGATCAGGACTTTCCAATAAAAAGCACTCGTCTTAGCAAATAATTAAAAACAGCCTTTAAATATTTGAGATCTCAAGTACCTTTTAAAATCACCAGTTCTTTTTATAATCAATAAGGTGAACTTAAACAAGTTCTGATATATCCAATATTCATGTAAATACTATTCATAATTTGAAATTCAAAAAACAAGGCTCAAGACAACACGATTAGACAAATCAAGTCAGTGTACACAAGTGTAAGTGTAAGTTTGATAGCTCCCTTCCTCCATTGAGATTTACATACATCGGTTCGAATTTGAGACGTAATACGAATATGTGAATGTTCGAGAACAATTTCACGCGGACTGTCTTGTTTTATCTTGTACTGGATTACCTAAATACTCTATGGTTTTCGCTAAGTAATAAAACTAAAGATTAGGTCATTAGAAACTGACTACATCATTGAAACTGAGCAAGGTCACGTATTATTATTATTTACAATTTATCTCAGATACTTATGTAATTAATGTTATGTTCAATGTAATGTAACCTCAACTGTGTTCACAAGTACCACAGACATACGTAAGAATCAACCGAATGATTTTATGTAACGACTAGCGACCCGCCCTCGCTTCGCTTCGGAAACATTAAAACACACATGAAACCAAAAAAATAAAATAAAATTGTTTTTAAAAAAAGTAGCCTATGTTCATCAGGGACAATGTCGGCTTCTAATGGAAAAAGAATTTTTCAAATCGGTCCAGTAGTTTCGGAGCCTATTCGAAACAAACAAACAAACAAATCTTTCCTCTTTATAATATTATTATAGTATTAGTATAGATAATAATGCAATTTTGTCCATAAATTTGAATGAATTATGTTAGACGTTCGTTGAACTATATTTTCAATGGCGGAAAAATTAAATCAATCAAAATTTTCGAAGATATATATAATCACTTTTGTTACGTAAATTCACAACTCTAGTAACGCTTGTGACATTTATCGAGAACAAAAGTGTTGTTTGCGAAACTTTCATAGTCGAATTCAAGGTCCGATTGACGCGAGCGAACACCAAAGCCAACAATGCGAACTTTGATTCCTAGCAACTAGAAACGATCTCGCCCCGCCCTCACTGGATAAATTTAGACGCGATCAATTATGTAGCTGCGCTGCGTATATCAAACGATAGTACCGTACAATGGGGTAAATAGGGACAAAATCGACCTTCAGATTGAATTTTAAAATAGTTCCAATTAAATAGTCACTGCTCAACCAAAGAAATAAGTTGAGTCTTGAACGTACCTAGGTGATAAAAACCGTTACATAATTTTAATTATTCATTTTAAAGAAATAATCGGTAAAATAATGGCCGTCCCAATTTACCCAGCGTCCGGGGTAAATTGACACGGTTAAGGGTTAAATTGGGATATTTGTAAGGGTTGTCAACTCGCAGTACTGCGATATATAGGTAGGTGCCATATAATTATTTATATGGACCGAAATGATGAATACAATCCATAATTTAAGCACAATACACAACATAGTGAAAATTAAGCTGGTTTCTATTCCGAAGCGATGTGACGTGAATGATAATCAACAATACAATGATCAAAAAAAGTATGTGCATGTTATATTTTAGAAAATTATTATTTAATTTCCTTAAAAATCACAACTCTGAAACAAAATGATAAAATAGAATAAAAAATAGAAAACAAAAGGACTGGAAATGCAATAATACAATTTTATTTAATCAACATTTTCAAAATAATCTTTGAGCAAGAGTAAGATATCAGGTGAATAAGATAAAAAAACAGCTTTATCTGATTACTGCCAATAATAACAAAAATAAAAGAAATTCTTTCTAAGCTAAATAACTAAACTCAATTAATTCACTCACTCATAATTGGATATCTCGGATTTTTAATTAATGTTACATTTAAAATCTGAGGCCTGTTTTTATTTGTGTGTGCGTTTTGAATGTTAACAAAATCATGATTCGACGCGTGAATAGATTCTGAAATAACAAAAGTTTTGATTCGTTTGAGTTCTTTTAACTTTTAATTTTTTTTATTGCTATAAAGAACATACGACCGGGCAGATATTACAAGGTAAATGTCGCGAAAAAAAAGTAATTATATATATACTTTTCTTTTACCTATAATACTTACATAAACTAACTGATAAACACATTAACCTTCTTTACATCACGCAATTAAGTGATAGTATAGGCTAAAAAATCTATTATAAGATATCAGTGACAACCCTAACAAGCCATCCCTATTTTGTCTTTTGGCGTTCCAATTTTGTGTTTTCTCGTCCCTAATTTTTCCAGTCTCGTTCCCAATTACCCTACATACGTCCCAATTTTCCCCAAAAAGAAAGGAAAAAATATACATTTTTTATTTTGTCGAAATATTGTATTTAAAATAAGAATATTGCAACTTACCGTTTGTTGTGGTATTTCCAGGTGTATTAAAAACTTACATAAACTGTGATCTTATTGAAAAAACAACGATAATATTACTTTTTTTAAAAGTTCTGTAAGCTGTTTTAAAACGCACTTTTCAACCACTATTTTCAATTTAATTTGACGAATTTTTGGGACCAACTTAACTCATATTTAGTACTTCCATAGTTAACTTGGTTTTTCTTCTATACATTGATAAATTTTAACATAAACAAAATTAGGTAGATTCCGTGCTACAGGTACTTTGAGAATTTTCCGCAGGTTTGTCCCAATTTACCCCAGGATCCCAATTTACCCCATGTCATGGTACTGTGAATTGTAGGTGTGCCCGCGTAAATCACTGCTATTAACAATTCATTGAGTTCTTATGCTGGTTTTTAAAGTCGATTCAAACGTTTCTGAAGTTTTCAGCGCATGCGTTCATCGTCAACTTATTTTATCACTGGCCTGTTTCTTGGTTTGATAAAGACTAAATAGTTTTGCTTACATTTCTTTCATTAAATAAATGTGGTCTGAGAAGACATTAATATGTAGTCTTTGTTTGTATCTCAATAGAAAAAAGAAGGTCTTACGATTCCGATGGCAGGGCATTTTTATTTTTTTTATTGCTTAGCTGGGTGGACGAGCTCACAGCCCACCTAGTGTTAAGTGGTTACTGGAGCCCATAGACATCTACAACGTAAATGCGCCACCCACCTTGAGATATGAGTTCTAAGATCTCAGTATAGTTACAACGGCTGCCCCACCCTTCAAACCGAAACGCACTACTGCTTCACGGCAGAAATAGGCAGGGCGGTGGTTCCTACCCGCGCGGAGTCACAAGAGGTCCTACCACCAGTAAATGCGTATCCAGTAAATACCATGAATTGCGTGCTCGCACTTGCACGGGTACCGATGTTAATTTACCTTAAAGTCGATGCAGATGTGCTATTTAGAGCACATGTACCAGCGCAATTGACATTTCAACATTAATTATCTGAAGGCAAACAGCGGCGCGTACATTATATTATCTATGGTCTCGGGTGACGTCAAACTCGCATCCATAATAGCCAATAAAAAGCATTTACGAAATAACTCATAAAAAGCTATTTCGAAGCTGTAAATAATTTATTGTACAATAGATACGGATTTTAAAAGGTAATTTAAGCAAATCGTGACATAAACACTGATATAATGTGTGTACTTAGATTTTTACACTGCTTATCAAAATAATTAATGGGCTAGTCGTGTTTCAAAGTTTCAATGCCCACCTCGTGAGATTCTATTTCAAATTCAGTTCCGAATGTTCCAAATAAATTATTGAATATTATTTTAGAAGCGTTGGCCATAATGTAAAAACAAAAATTAAATAAGCCTTGTTTGTTAATGACATTTATATATTGTACATTCAATTGGCTAAGAGTGGAAAGCAATAAATACTAGATACTTTTAAACAAAATTCAGTTATTCTCAGCCGTTCAGCAACTCTAACTAGCTGACTTTTGTATCTTTCATATTCCTGTGCCTTTTTGTTATTATCAGCGTAAAACCAAATTACAAATGACAACAGTAATAACATCCTAAGCTAATGGCAGTATGATATAAGCAAATAAGGTTCGATTTAGCATGTGCTTGTTTATTTCGTAACCCTTGCCGTTTCACCACATTCGC